TTTTTTGGTGCCATGCATGTACTTGAGGTTGGATTCGTAATTGGGTTATTTACATGCTTCCTTAACGCAAAATATGTATATTGTGAAGCTAGTTGTTCTTTGGTTTAAACAAAGTGGTGGATGTATGTGCATTTGTATGAAGATTAATAAATGGTAGGGAGTTCAAGTGGAGCCTAAAATATTTTTATGGTTTGTATGGTATATTTTTTTTATTTTATTTTCTTTTTTCATGGCTAAGAAAATTTGTAATGTGTCACGGTCTCATGTATCAGTATATATATAGCTTCATGTATCATGGTCTCAGCTGCATGTATCATGGTCTCATGATTTGGGTAATCATGGACTTTGTTTTTAGATTTTATATTTTTTCATTTCATTGTTTATTTCACATGTGTGTATACATTATAAAATCATATAGTGATACATCAACAGCATAATAATTCAATTTAGTTATCCTCATATGATATTTTTATTATTGGTGTCCCAAGAAATATGTATGTTAGTTTAACTCAAGTATTTGATTAACTATATATCTTGTTAGTCTCAATTAGTTATTCTTTTTTTCTTATGACATAGATGTTGGGACATATGAGGATTTCGATGCACAAATCACAGACAAACATTCAACATAAATCTATGCGCAGCGGATCTAAAGGTTTGATGAAGAAAACTTACTGCTTAAAATTTATGTAGATCTGGCTGGCCCGAACAGTTGACCGCAAATCAAATCTTCTCGGAATCGAACAAAGTTGACCAATCCAGAAAGCTGACGTCACGACGAAGTCAACGGCGTTGACCGATCGGAAATTGGACGATTCACGCGCTCTCACGCGCGCGAGTAAGCTCCGGCATCTGCTCCCTTCCGGCGGCGCGTGGCGGCGCGTGCGTCGGCGGCTGGCGGCGATCTCGACGGCGATTTCTTCGTCTTGTCGTCCTGGTCGTCGTGGTATGGTCACTTGCTGGTTTTGGTCTCCGGTTTGAACGTATGATAGATCTGATTGGAATCCCGTATATACCTTAAGATCTTCTACTGTATTCTCAAACAACTATCTAGATCTTGTATCAGTGGAACACAAGAAATAGAACTACTCCTTGGAAGAGAGAGAGAGAGGGGGCGGACGCAATTCCCAATGATGTGGGATTGTTTTCTCTTCTTCCATGAGCCTAATGCTGTATATATAGAGCTACAGTAGGGACCCTAAGGAGAATAGGATAAGGGCTTCTAATATATTAATACTGTGGAGCAACCCCACAATTAATATATTAATAATATTAAAGTCCACCACAATAATATTATTGCACTCCCCTCACCTATCCCAAATTACATTTGAGACTCTTTATTATAATTATCCGATTTACCTCCCCATGTTTAAGATATAATGTCCATTAATTAATTCGATCACTAATAATCAAGAATTAATTAATATATTATATTACCGAAGCTAGCGCTCGCTCATAGCTTTCATGTTATGCCGGAATAAATCCACCTGCAGGGTTTAACATAATATTCCTTCATGAACTAACTTCGGGGACATCATCATACTAACGCACATGGTGACCGTAAATATCCTAATAGCA